ACAAAAATTTTCCCTAACATCACGTCATCACGAAGGTCCCAGATCCGATCAACTCGGATCTGGAACCTTCTCGCCGATCAACCAAAACTGGACACATGTGGCCACTCTACATTTAAAACTGTCATTTTTAATTATTACTCTATGTCATTAAGAACTTGTTACAATGTCAACGATCCTTATTCGTAGAAAACCATTTGTCCAAAGTGTACAGTAACTCTGTTCGTAGTCTCAGTATTCCAATCTCGTCAGTGCATGTAAGAGACGTATTGTTGTTATTTTCATATGTTGTTTGTTATTAGTTGATTATTACATTTGTTAAATTTGTAATATTAGTTTTAATGTTCGTTTTACGGGGCCGTAGTAATTGGCTAAGCGCTGCATTACAGTTATCTACATGGCAAAGCTAATAAATTAAATTAAATTAATTTTCGCAAACATACAAAAAAATTTTCATGACATATCATACTTTTTTCCAAATTTGTATGTTTCGCCGGAATATCGCAATGATTTTTGCCCAACCGCAGAAATTTGGGAGGGGGCACGTGCCCCTCCCCCCGCCCCGCCCATACGCCTATGCCAAACAGTTTATTTGTTTATAAAAAAATTATTGCTGGATATTGTAAAACCCAATGAAGGTAAATTTGTTTATTTTGTTCAGGCAAATATTGATAATTAACAATTATACCATGAGCTCGAGTCGTATATGAACTGATAGCCACTAACTGAAGCAATAATTAATTATCCTCTGTTACAATGTCTTGACAATTTGTTCGGCAAAAGACCGCTTGGCCTTGAAAATTTGAAATACTTTTGTTTTACAACTCGAAGACGAAGTGAAAGAAATGGTTTTAGAACCGGAATATCTCACAGAAAAGCTCAGCTATATTATACAGATGTTTGGTAGTATAGTAAGTGCTTGTTGACTGCAAATTCATTTGTCTTTCGTTGCAAACTTTTCTGAACAATTTATATTCTCAATGAACATGTTTTTCAGTTTTCGCTGTTGTTTCGGTATTATTTCTTTAAAAAACTTGATTTAAACTAATTTCTATGTAATAAATGTATTTTGCTAACCTGTCAAATTTTTTTGAGAGTTTTTCCTTGTACTATTATATTTCTCAAAGCGAATATTTTCCTTTTTTCTGCTTTGCAAACTCTCATGTAGTTTTTGGATCGGTATCTTGTTTTTCGCTACTCGCCGTATATGAGCTGATATACGGTGAGTAATTCAACCAATCAGATTGCAGAACAGCTCATATACGGTGAATGACTATATTATAAATTATGTTATTTCCATGCGAGAATTTTAAATCATTTTATTGCAAAGGCAAAGTTTATCGATAAAGGGTAAATTAGTTTTAAGAATTTTAAAATGTTTTGCGTACGTTTGCGGTTGATATGAGCTTTACATTAATTTGAAGCTTATAATACGTATAATAACGTACATAAATATATTTTACCTAACACATATATATTTGCGAAATTGATAATTGTAATTAAAACTAATATTTTACTGAGGGGAGTTTTCAATTTTAAAAATATTCGCATCACAAGCCAGTCTCGTCAACTTCTAGCGGTTGACGGCTTTGTGTTTTCATATCTTTGGTTCAGTGCATGCTATGAAGACAGATCGAAATACCACCATTCGATTCAGAAATAAAAGATTCAACTAATTCCTCCCTATGGTTATAGTCATTATCAACATTGTAGCGATTTATGGGCCTTATCTTATCTAGAGTGTTATTTGCAAGCCTGTTTCTTCAAATCTGTGTCTTTTATCAGTATATTTCCATTTCTTGTCCGACTGTAAGCTCGAAGTGAGTTAATCCCAACCGGAAATACGACAAAAAACCGTCAAAACAATGCGACGTTTGTATCGTATGACCCTGCAAAGGCCAGAAATGGATTCGGAAGATCAAATTGCACCTACACGCGTGAGTTTGACTTCATCCCGACCACAGGAGCTTCTTATTGGCCAATTATGCGCAATGTACGCGAGTGCGAGTAAAACCCGACATCTTGAAAAATTCAAAATAAATATTTCTACTCGCCGTATTCAAACGAAATTTTGTACACGAAAGCGCTTGAATACAAAGAGTATTTTACACATATAGCCGTTCAGCAAATGACGAAAAGTTGAAGATATATTCAAGACTTTCTGGATATGAAATTTAGAATCTTTGCCGTCAAGCGGTGAGTAAATATATGATTGTTTCGGTTTGTGTAATGTTTTGACGGCACTTGACCCCCCGTTCGAAAGGTTATTTTGTGAGGATTTCAATGGTGACTTTTATTTAAAGGGGGGGGGGGGTAAATACTCGCCGAGATATTTATATTAGAAAAATTGGGTCGTAATGTGATGCGAATGGCTTGTGACGTGAAAGAGTAAAATTATTGTGTCGCCGTGACAACTACTGTAAATATTTCATATTCGGAAAATATACTGGTTTTGCCAGCAAGGGGACGGGTTTCTGCGTGAATGTATTTCTGGTGACAGCTAAACATGAATGTAAAACTGTCTTCGTTCACTGACCCTAACCAAGTATATATGAAGATGATGTATATAAACAAGTATATATATCAAGATGATGTCGAGATGATGTATATATCAAGATGATGTCCTAACCAAGTATATATGAAGATGATGTCCAGACGATGATGTATATATCAAGATGATGTCCTTGATATATAACCAAGTATATATCAAGATGATGTCAAGATGATGTATATATCAAGATGATGTCCTAACCAAGTATATATTATCAAAATGATATATATCAAGTATATATCAAGATGATGTTCAGGCGATGATGTATATATCAAGATGATGTCCTTGATAGCCTATATAACCAACTATATATCAAGATGATATCATGCAAGATGATGTGTATATCAAGATGATGTCCTAACCAAGTATATATCAAGATGATGTCCAGGCGGACAAAAATTGTAAAGTCGATTAGTTGGCTGCTTAATCATGCAGTTGCTCAAGATTAAAGGTGGAACAAAAGTTCGACAATGCACCTGAGAACCAGTATCGTCAGGGTTTAACATATTGTAATCCATGTCGCCCGCAGTATATATATATATATATATATATATATATATATATATATATATAGCTTAAGATTTTGGTTTACGAAACACAAACAGTGCTCAATACCATATAGATAGAGCGTAATATAGTTTTTCGTTTTACCTCAAAAAACCACAACAGTCTGTTTCATCCGTTGACCCCCCGTTCGAAAGGTTATTTTGTGAGGATTTCAATGGTGACTTTTATTTAAAGGGGGGGGGGGGGTAAATACTCGCCGAGATATTTATATTAGAAAAATTGGGTCGTAATGTGATGCGAATGGCTTGTGACGTGAAAGAGTAAAATTATTGTGTCGCCGTGACAACTACTGTAAATATTTCATATTCGGAAAATATACTGGTTTTGCCAGCAAGGGGACGGGTTTCTGCGTGAATGTATTTCTGGTGACAGCTAAACATGAATGTAAAACTGTCTTCGTTCACTGACCCTAACCAAGTATATATGAAGATGATGTATATAAACAAGTATATATATCAAGATGATGTCGAGATGATGTATATATCAAGATGATGTCCTAACCAAGTATATATGAAGATGATGTCCAGACGATGATGTATATATCAAGATGATGTCCTTGATATATAACCAAGTATATATCAAGATGATGTCAAGATGATGTATATATCAAGATGATGTCCTAACCAAGTATATATTATCAAAATGATATATATCAAGTATATATCAAGATGATGTTCAGGCGATGATGTATATATCAAGATGATGTCCTTGATAGCCTATATAACCAACTATATATCAAGATGATATCATGCAAGATGATGTATATATCAAGATGATGTCCTAACCAAGTATATATCAAGATGATGTCCAGGCGGACAAAAATTGTAAAGTCGATTAGTTGGCTGCTTAATCATGCAGTTGCTCAAGATTAAAGGTGGAACAAAAGTTCGACAATGCACCTGAGAACCAGTATCGTCAGGGTTTAACATATTGTAATCCATGTCGCCCGCAGTATATATATATATATATATATATATATATATATATATATATATATATATATATATATATATATATATATATAGCTTAAGATTTTGGTTTACGAAACACAAACAGTGCTCAATACCATATAGATAGAGCGTAATATAGTTTTTCGTTTTACCTCAAAAAACCACAACAGTCTGTTTCATCCGTATAGGAATCATCAGGTTCCTATACGGATGAAACAGACTGTTGTGGTTTTTTGAGGTAAAACGAAAAACTATATATATATATATATATATATATATATATATATATATATATATATATATATATATATATATATATATATATAGTATATATATATAGCATATATATATATAGTATATATATATATAGTATAAATATAGTATAAATATATATATATATATATATATATATATATATATATATATATATATATATATATATATATATATATATATATATATATATATATATATATTTATGTATATATATATATAAAAATATATATATATCCGCAACAGTCTGTTTCATCAGTAAAGTACATTTCATCACATTTCATTTACTGATGAAACGGACTGTTGCGGAATTTTGAAATTCTACATTTGCTCTATCTTTATGATATTGAGCACTTTTTACGTTTCGTATACACAAACCTACTCGTATATATATATATATATATATATATATATATATATATATATATATATATATATATATATATATATATATATATATATATATATATATATATATATATAGTATATATCTTTGTTAATTATATGTACATAAGAAATAATGCTGAAATAAGAGTTTCGCTAAGATATTCGTCAAAACAATTTGTAATTGGGACTTACTTGAATTTTGAGCCAAAGTTGATGCATACCCGTAGCAGAAATCCTTGATAAATCACTCAGGCATTCGACTTTATAACAATTTCTCACAAAGGCGCAAACACCGGGGAATTTCTGGGAATTTCTACCTCGATACCTTGTACGGTATTATTTAGCCACGATTCAGAAATAGTTAGGATATCATATTCATTCTTTAAAGCGAGTTCTTTAACAAAAATGTAATGTTGTCTATTCTTGATAGATATTACATTCAAATGAGCAATTTGCAAATGGCGTCGTTGTTTTCTATTCGCATTTGAAGCACGTACCCTTCGTGCATCATGCTTATTGTCCGGGCCAGGATTTGATGAAATGTCCATCATGCCCTTTTCGAATGGTTTTGAAGGTAGAGCGATATTAAGACAGTTAGTCCCCGCTTTGTCAGTCCTAACGATAGCAAAGAACAAGTTCGACTTTGAGAAGTTTATATACGCTTTCGGCAGAAAATCAATATGCTGAAGCAAAATAGGCTCACAACATTTCGCTAGATTGGTGTTTGTAGAAATATCGTGTCTCCATATAGTATTGATATTATTTACTACATGAACTAATTGAGGAGCACAAAAGAGTGCGCCTAGTAAGACTGGATATCCCACGAACATTTTTCAAACCTTCCTGTCAAAGGGGGTCTGCATCATTATATCTCTGACACGGAATTTATTGAAACATTTCCCCTCCTTAAATTCCTTCCAGTTAGAGCATGGAAACGCTGGAAACAAGCACTCTTTTCGACTTGATGCCGTGAAATATGCCACTGCACTCATACAGTGTATGTTGCTGCATTTAAGACCCGTCTTGATTATAGTTATCATATTCGACGCTTAATTAGTGGGTGGCATTTAACCAGCGAACAGGGTATCAGATATACTAACCAACACTGCAATCAAACGTCCGGGCATATACTTATTATAGACCCATTGCACTGACGTCACAAATCCTTAGAGTGTCCTCCAGATGCTCCCTAACAATATCTATTCGGGTACAATAACCACATGCATACAACGCAAAATTTAACCATTTTAATACAAAATTAGTATAAAGTTTTACAAAATTTGCTTTGTTTACAGAAGTTATATTATGCATAGATTGCTAATTTGTCCTCCAGATGCATCGTCACCGGCCCTGTGACGTCATGTGCAATGGGTCTATACTTGTATTCAAAGATTAGAAATAGTATTGTCGTTTAAAGCCCACCATTTCCGTATATTTGGGCATTCGCTTCACGTTTGACCGCGGTGTTTACTCACCACGACCGGAAATTGCATAGAAAAGTGGTCACGTCCCTGAGTGTTTATTGCATGACAATGTGGGCTCATGCAGTCATGAATTTTCCCGCACTTTTTGTTTTGCTTTATTTCGACTCATTTATCGCGAAAAAGGCTGAAATTGTACTTTTAAATAGTTCTTAATTATGTTTAAGCTTAGACTTACAGTATAACCAGGAGTAGGTGCGAAAAATGCAACCATATGCCCTCAGGTAGGAATCGAATTGAACCTGTGATTGAGGTGCAGCCCCCTAGCCATCTGATATCTCGACAACTGGACTATGTATACTGAGCTGGATTGAGCGCTACTCCAAAATCCAAGAGTTGCACGGTTCCTGTAAGAGGGCCTAGAGCTGCATTTTTCGTAACTGTTCCGGGTTTGGTCTAAATTTGTATTTATTCTCCTGTTCGAATTTTCCAGAGATCTATCGAGCTCAAAAAGTTCTTTAGCCAGTGTTCGCACTCAGGGTTCGTACACCTTCTTCCATTTAAAATTCCATGACTTTTCCATGACTTCCCATGACCTCTTTTTTCAAAATCCATGACCTGGAAGTCTGGAATGTTCTGAAATTCGTTAATATTTTAACGATAACAGATATAATAAAAGACAAAATTCACTTCGCTCTTGCAAAAATCCGTTATATAACAGCAATTCATATTATTGTTATGACTGGTAAATTTAAATAAGTAAAACACTTTGTTAATGTTATGTAAAATTTCAATTTTCCATGACTTTCCATGACCAAAATTGATTTTCCAGGATTTCCAGGCCTGTATTTTGGAGTATTGAAATTCCTTGACTTTCCAGGTTTTCCAGGACCCGTCCGAACCCTGTTTAGCGTCTTATAAAAAGTTCAAATGTTCAATAGTAAATAGCAACAAGGTAGGATTATAATTTTATAGAAATAGTTCATTTTCGCTGACGTCTTCCTCTGATGCGATCACATTCGACTTCAAGGGCACATTCACGATGTCCTTGTTGTATGCAGATGTCTAGAGTTAAGAAAATGTTTTGTGACGATCATCATAGGCGTGCGACACCAGGGCCGGGGCATGGGCGGCCACAAAAACGAGGGCAGCCTTTCATCCGGCCCCCTTCCCCGCCAGAAGGCATTAGCATGTACGGTCAAGATGATGATGTTAACAAATAAAAAATGAACGAATGTGGGATCTAGAAAGAGTCGTCAACCCGGTTTAAACAACTTAAAACTGCTAATTCTCGAGTAAATTCTTTATCATAAGCTAACATTGCCCCGAGGCAAGCGCAAAGCGCGTAGGGCTATAAAGTATAATTCTACTCGGCTTTTCACACCCGGCGCAAGGAAAGCATTAGCGAAGTCGAAAGTTCGTCATTAATAGATAGATAGAAACTTTCATTTAAACACGCTAATCATTGTCAACCTAGGCTGATTTCCACAAGGGGCGTGTACAATAATAAAATTACAAAGATATAGTATATTGTAAATAATGCTGTTAAAAAATGTGAGTATATCTATGAGTGGACATCTCACTGATCTCAAAAATATATCTGTTTGCCAGTAGTGAAGGAAGCAATGACTAAAATGATATGGCAGAAAGCTTGGAAATCGTTTCACACAATAAGTTGTAAATTACCTTTTTCAAATTTTGAAGAAACAGTTAAGGGAGTGTTCATTTTCTTATACCCGGGGTTGGTACCGAAGAGAAATGAGTTGGATAAGCCATGAGTTGCAACGTGTCTACAGTATAAATGGGGCCGCTAAGAGCACACTAACCAATTGCATTTCAGAACAAAAATAGAAAAAGTGTAAAACATAATTTACTTTTGCTTTTCGCACAAAAAATTACGCGAACCTGCGTTCAGTGTTGGCGTAAATAAGAATACTGAATGTTGAAACAATGCTTGGAAAATGGGGCAAGGGGTTGTTGCATGCATGTATTTCGAGTATTTGCAATATTAGATGCTTCAGTTTGAACCAACTAGTTAGAATAACTTACATCTACAATATATCAGATGTTTTAACGCTTACAGACATACCTGTGGGATTTCTTTACAATCAAGTATTTCGTAGAGTAAGTCCTTTAAACTATGAAAATTTGGGCGATCTTCAGGATTTTCTTTGCAGCACATTGACATAACATCGTTGCTGTAAGGACAATTTTATTTCATTGTTCGAGTTGTAAGTTCGATTTTAACCCTAACCAGACAGGGCTTTTTTTGGGTTTTCTAGGATTGAGGGGGGGGGGGGGCGATGTGTGGCAGTAAGCGCCCGCGATCAATTTCCTAAACCATTTAGTGTTTTCCATCAAAACTTTTACTGGTGAATGGCATACCTTGCTCAAGTATATAGGCTAATGACACTTATGTTGTCATGGCAGCAAATTATGACGTCATTAATTGCAAATCCTGGATTGTTAAAATGTTCAAAATTAGTTTCCTTATTTTAATTTTTACCTCTTTTGTTAAGAAAAAAAGTAGTGTGTATATAAAAAATACATGGGTGTACGGACTTAATCTTGTTCGGGTGGGCACAGTATTAGTTGTTACACTGTACACATATACAACTTTGTTCGAGATTTTCTCAGGGCCTTTTTTAAGGATTTTACCGTGCGGGGGGGGGTGTCATTTTTTGAAAATGGACCTTTTTGTGAGATAATGTATTAGTGAGGGATAGCCATATGGCTGACATACAACGCATGAGGGGGGGGGGGGGGTCTGGGGAAAATATTTGAAATTTGAAGTCCAAATTTGCTCTAAAATTTATGCTAACTATACTCGTATCAACCTCGCAAGCCAGGGTCTTTACCTGCGCTTGCATGGGCTACCGGAAAGACCCTGGTTCCCTCTAGTCACGTAAACCCCTAGATTTTAGGGGTAATTCGAATTGCCGCCTCTATGCCACTAAGAGAGGAGTGGTAGGGGAAATTGAAAAAGCCAAGAGCGAAAACGAAAACATCTATAGCTATGCCCATGGAAAAGGCGGCCATTTACGCTCTGTATAACCCATATATATATATATATATATATATATATATATATATATATATATATATATATATATATATATATATATATATATATATATATATATATATATATATATATATATATAATAGTTGTATATATAGTTGTTTTACCCCGAAAGGGTCAGAAGAGGGTCAGGAGAATGTGAACATACTGCAACTTGCAGCCCACTTTAAGAAAACGGAGTTCAACAAAATTCACATTTGTGATTAATTGTATATTCATTTGGTACAAAGTCAAGAATATTTTACAGGCCCAAATATGTTTATCTAATCATGTGAAAACATCCCCTTTCCATATCTAAATTACACTCAACACATAAATTAAACATTGTGTTTTGCATGTACACTGCAGCATAAATTGGTCTGCAAATGTCCTCCAAGGCATCAATAAAGAGCCTAAATCTGAATGTTTTTTCGTAAAAGATATTCTTGCGGTCGGATGATAGAATTTGGAACCGACTCAAAGCAATTATGCAAGCCAAGTGATTATTTTATGTGCATTCGGTCAAGTTTATTTGCTGTACTGTATCAGTTATAGCAATAACGAATGGTACGTTAGCAAATACAACATACTAAGCTTTGCATAACCAAGTTATCTAAAATCACACACCCCCCCTAAAACAAAATTGAGATAACAATATAATGGATGATTGAGAAATAACATGTAGAATTAATTTTGTATTAATTTGGTCAAGTTCAGCTGTTCAGCTACATCGCAATCAATCTCTTCGACAAAACTCAATGCTAGTATCAGCAATAAATGTTTTTAACCTGAAAATATGACAACGATCGCTGTCTGTACGAAAACCTCAGGCAAATACTTTCCCGTACAGACCTCGCTCTCGGTTAATAACCCTTTATTATATTTAAAGAAAACAGTGACAATCCTTATGAAAACTATAATGATTATATTAAATTAAGCATCGTTTTTCATCTCATGATAATTTTTTTAGGAAGTAAGAAAATTTAATTTCTGCCAGGCACATAGTTATTTTATGCATAATTGAATATTTACCTGAGGTGGTGCATGGTCATTTTCTTGTAAAATATTATATTTAGAAAATCACCAATAACCACCCTTAAAAGTAACCCTTCTAACAATATATGCACTTCAGAAAGGTTGTCGCGTTTTGTTTTCGGAAGTTAGAGCTATGTCGGCACTGCCGTTTCAGAGCGGGGTCATTTTCTGGACTTTCGCCCCGGATTCAGGTTTTGGCACATATGCCATGTTGATCGCCATGGTCATTTTACCCTAAAACAGTTGAGATTACCTGTGCTAAATGAAACGCATACAAAGAATGTCATCTATAGAGGTCCTAGACCATGTGGCG